GTGGGGTACCTGTTACCTGGATGTGTAGCCTTTTTCTTTTTGCGCATAATTTTTTTTAATTGCAGCTAAAATGTTTGCCAATGTGCAATTTTGCACATACCTGAAAAAGGATTTCGAGCCCTGAGTACGCAAAGGAAATCATACAGTAAGGAATACATGAAGCCAGAAATCCTGGCACTGCGCCTGCGCTAAACCTTGATGCTGCGCGGTTTCCGTTTAATGTTTGGTCGACAAATAATTTTTCCTTTGCAGACGAATTCTTTTTAGACACGAAGTTTAAAAAACTACAGACGGGATGTTTCCTTACATATGCAAATACGTTTTGCCGAGGTGTTATGTACAAACATTACGGGTTTGGCGCAGGCGCAGTAAACGCTTTACCAAGGTGTTATGTACAAACATTACAGGTTTGGCGCAGGCGCAGTAAGTTCTGCTGACGTGCTGAATGAACACATGTTAACCAGACGTTGCCTTGCTAACATAATCGGAAGTTGATGTGTGATGTTTACTATCAACAGCAGCTCACCGATATTCAAGTATACAAGTTTACCATGTACATCGATTTTGATGAAGGTTATGGATTGATGTAAATTGATTTAACGCCATTTGAACACATTTTACTTCATAATTACCAATATCTCAACTCATACATTACTTTCTTTTAAAACAAATAACATCTTGGGTATACATAATCCTTATCAGGTGCATAATACCGGTATCTCAACCATCAACTGAAGATGTTGTTGCTTTCAATTTGGAATGAACAAAAAGGCTTTCTTAGTCTGACAGTTACCTTTTGTACATGTTAACCAACATACTTGTTATGTTATGATTCTGTAATTATGATGGTTGAAATACAAGTAGACCTGAGTGCTACAAACGGGCAACATGGTGACGGGATATCAGACAACTGTCATCATTGAGTAACCATGATGCCAACTAGTACCTCAATTCATAACTAATGAATTGATTAGATTAAATCATAAGAATGGATTAAGAACACCCTAAAGCCCGTGTCATAACAAGGTAATCACACCATCGAATAGCGTAAGTTGGTTCATGGTTTAGATCTTGCATGCGCAGTGTAAAATGTTAAAGGCTTTTGAGACGTAACAAGACACTCCTGGACATGGTATCGGATTTAGTGTAGACAAGAACTGACTACAATTTACATCGATCACAGTAAGAGATCCAAATACACACAAAAACAGTTACTCAGTGACTAAATAAAAAATCAGAAGATGCTACTGGAATAGTCTGACAGTTTTCAAAACTATCCAGTTGCTTGAGAAACTGCTTACTTGTGTGAAACAAAGTTCTTTGTTCGCAACCACTTTTTAACAACAACATCGAAACGTCGGCTCTTGTTAATAAAAAAAAAGGTGTAAATAAACAATTTTGCTATTCATTCAGTTTCCACCTGGATCAAATTCACGAATATTTGCATTTGTGTTTTTAGGTTAGTGGTCTTTAACTTTGACCTCGTGCATGCGCAGTTCAAACCATGAACATGATTATTGTTTACAGACATGAAGTTCACGGCCAGGTTGTAAAGAAAACGCCGAAACAAAATAACAAAGGTATGAACCAGCTACGACCGGGTTCCTATTGTACAAAGTATATTCATATATTCTTAAGTTTTCCTACATACAATGCAGGGACATGTTAAACACGTTCGTATAAATGAATTTTATAGTCTGTTTCTTTGATGCGATTTATCGGTAGTAACTTTGGATACAATTGTTAGCCAGATATTGTTAAATTGACCAAACGTTAAGTCCACTTCAAAAAATGCCCCAGTTATTAGATAATCAGGAAATAATGTTTGTGCGCGGTTGTCCCAACATTGTATTGCAGTTGCCGTCTTACCTATTGAATCTGAAACAACCCAACGTTCTTAGTCATTATATTTTGGTATTAATAGGCAGACAATTTTAACTCATATTGTACACGTTGTCCCGAGTATACATGTACACTGTACTTTGGCTGTTGTTTTCAGCTTGAATGTCATCATGTTGGACAAAGGTACAGACAATACTGTTCAGTTTGTGTGATATATATTAGGTCAAACACGATAGTTCTTTCAACCGTGATTTCAACATCCTGAGAGTTTTTTATTTAGTCTCGACACTTGAAGGAAAGACGCTATTTGTATAACATAGGGAACTCTGTCTAAACGAGAGAAAAACAGGTGGACGTTTACTCTGGTATAGTCATGAACAAAAGGTTGTATCAGACTCAACGGGCTTATATATAATTACTATACTCTACATTATCATTTCTAGGATACCAACTCTGTGAAGTGTCTTTACCAATTAAACGACGTCGGTAGAAAAAAGGGGAGATGACATATGGAAAAAAAAGTCGCTATTGTGTCGTTCTCGAGTTGAACAAGCATAGTGTTCTACTACACAAAATGTAAATGTGGAAAGACACTGAATTCCTAGAAATGAGATAAACGAGTAAACGGCGGCCCTTACTGGATCTCGGACGAGTTTCTTCAGTCTTGAAGAGCTTGGCAGATTTCCTACACGCCTGCAGAGAGGAGAAAAGCATTGAACGTCAAAAACCTTATTTTGTAGAAACTTTAACCCTATCTAGACGGGGGGGGGGGCTAAAAGTGCCTGCGCCAACTTTGATGTCACGTAGCGTCCGAACGGCTAGTGCTAAAATGGCCAAACTTCGTGACTTTTATTGTTGGTAAAAAAATTCTGTATCGTTGGAATAAGATAAGAATTTTTGTGTTGCCATGGCAACGGGTTTCTGACAGGCATTTTTTGCTAAATTTAGTAATTTTTCTTTCAACAATATCATTTTATGGGTTTTATGTCAAGTTACACATTGTTTCTAATATTGATAACATTCAATATGGTTTTATGTGAATTTTATCATGAAAAATGCATAATTTATATGCATAAAAAATCCTAAAACCACATCATTAGAAAAGGTATATACAGGTTATTTTCCTTAAAATTTCACCAACATTTCCATTTCTTTCTACAAAAAAGGTTCATATGAACGTCTTTATTCTGTTTACAATGTATTTTAGGCTGTATCCTGTAAAAAAACTATTTTTGAAAATTGTAGATTGATGGTACAAGATGGCGGATAGCTTAAATGTGCATAACGTCATTTCATAACGTCACCGGTGTTGTTGTGGGCATTAAAAGACTTAGTACACCCTAAAATTCGGTCATAAACACTTTTGGTAATTAAAAGTTATGTTGTATACCATTTAGTTGCAAAAAATAACCTATCTAGGCGGTTTTTGGCCGATAAAATCACATTAATGACGTCATATTACGTCATAACGACCTAAAAATTATAGTTGTGGAAAATGTGTACTAGTACACTATTATCTAAAAATTTGGTGGTCATACGACATACCGCGGTTCGCGAGTTCTGAGGGGGGGGGGGTCGAATGAGCATCCCCCCCGTCCCACCAAGTCAAAAAAAGCCCGGTCTAGATAGGGTTATGGAGTTTCAAGTAGTCGGGACAAGTAGGATGCATATGACCTTCAAAACTGCTAAACACAACGAAACAAAGCCGTGTGAGGGACAAAGCTGTATATATAGGGACGAGGCTTACCGAAGACTTTCACCTCGCACAGGGTCAGGGTGCGGCTGGTTCCTTGCAGAGCTACCCCGACGTACCGGCCCTGCAGACCATTGCACGGCACGGATTTGTAGTCCCCTGATATGGACTGTTCGCCGTCACAGGATGGGTTACTGGCTACGCTCGTACTGTGACCGACGTGCACATAGAAAGGGTTTAGCCTCTCGCTGCAGCACTCGTCGACACGGTCGTACACATCGACGGTGAAGATTGTACGGGTACTGCCCAGATCCACCCGCCACCATGGGTTGCTTTGTTCGTTTATTGTATGTGTGCACGACATACTCCATAAAATGCCGTTTGTGTTCCCATCCACAGCTAGTGAGGATGTTAGGCCATAGCCGGTGCTTGATTGTGATGTGTTTCGCCCCCTCGCAAGGTTAGTAACTCCTACATAAAAGGATAAGTATCTCTTTTATTAACTAGGAGACATAGTCACCCGGGCATTTCGGCTGTGCAACTTAGTGACGTTTATGTGAAGTCTGAAAGCTTTGAACATTATGGATTATATACGACCATAAACTGGTGATTCTGTTGCCCTGAGTACCTGAACGGGTACGCTCATATCCCCACACGAGGCGTGCATGTGGTGAAAAAAAGAGGACTCGAGACAGTTACTACAGTTGAAGAGTCGACATGATTGTTGTCTAAAAATTTTTATTTCATATCTGCACAAGAGTTGGATACCATTTAACGGAGGACAGCTGACCACCTGTGTATAATGCTTGAAAACTATCATCAGTTTGCAGCTTAAGAATGTGGAAATCGCCTCACGGCTCTCCCCTAGAAGTCTTTAGCAGCAGTTTGAGAAATTCTCTGCCAGTAGACTGACTGACTCTGACTAATTTCTGACTACTTGTGAGACATAACATTTCCTTACCCACATACTCAATGGAAAATCCTTGACCGTTAACTAAAGAGTCGGAGATGAAGACAAGGTGCCTGGTCTTTCCACTGGCCACGACCGGCGGTGGAATTGTTTTGCCGCAGAATTTGCCGAGCTGTGTGCCGCTGGAGTTGGCGCCGTCATACACCGTCAGGTAGTCGTAAGCACACGTGCTATGTCCCTGTATGTCGATACTTGTAAACCTACAAGAGGTTAACGTTCAACATCAGTGTAACATGACAAAGGGCTTGCCATGATTATCGTGAAATGATCATATGATGCTGCTGCATGCATGAGAAAAAAGCCAAAAGTACTTAGGGCCATGTTAATATGATTATACGGATGACATCCACGCGTGCATGAATTTTAGGCTGTTTCCAAGAAAAAAGTTTTCAACCATGCTCAATAGTACGAGACAGTTGCAAAACGACCAAAAATATACCGCAAGTTGCAAAAAAATGGAAAACGATACCTATGTCATACTCATAGATTGCTTAAATCAAACTGAAAAGACGAACATGTAAAGAAATAAATTTAAAGACTAGATCTTTTGCCATACTTTGCTCTGTGTCATTTGTTCAACCACCATAACCACGAAGATTTCATAATGAACAACGTTTTTTTCCAAACTCTTATTATTCGCACCAGTTTGGGAGTTCCCAAAGGATGTCATTCATAAAATCAAATCAACATGGCCTAAATAGAATAAAATGAACATTCAGTAATATTGCTACTTAATGCTTGTTTGTAAGTTTACAGGGGCAATTGTCTCCATACCATTGGTTGTCTCAGAATTGTGTTGATTGTTTTACTAACTTAAAGTTTCACACAAAAGCTTAAAACAAACTGGCTAAGGTTTACATATAACCACCAAATAGAGGACGTACTTTTAATTTAAAACTGCTACTTGTTATAAACAGGACTGAAAGGCTATGGGACCAACTTCAAAGGAGTATTAAAGACTAACAGACCTGATGGCGGCCCTTCCCCTGCTGACAGTTATCGTCCAGGAACACCGGAGGTTGTCTTTGTACCTGTTCGGGTAACCAGGGGAGGTGATTGTGCCGGAGTCTCCGGTCAGTATGGCAGGATCCTGACAGATGGCCGGTGGTGTAACCGATTCTGTTAAGATTATCAAGAGAGTTTTTTAATCATGGGCCATGATACGACAAGGGCCTCGCTTAATCACGTACATCGAGTACTCTGGAGTACCGTGATTAGCGAGAACTTCGCCTGAGAATACGCGACCAGGCCTGCAAAGCGACTAGGGTCGTCAACGGGCTATGCCTGCGTCCCACTCCCTTCAAACCATACCCAGGTCCGTGTGTTTGATTTGAATTTGGTGATTCGTACTTGCTTAGACGACAAGATACTTGTTTAAATGATTAAATTAAACGAAAGCTAGGGCTCGCCTGTAACTTAACGAAATGTTTTCAGAGAACGCCGTGGCTATTTACACTCTCGGTGTGGATCTAAGGGACAGAAAAATTCTAATATCCACTCCGGAATACTAGTTTCCGTGGCAGGTCCGAAACATGGGTTTTAGTGTGTGTTTGAGGCTTCAGGGGGTTTCAAGTTTAACTTAGTGGATGTCGAAAAGGCTGACAATCACAAAAAAGACACGAAAATGCCCCTTCCCCCATGTTCGAAAACACATGTTTTGACCTGCGACCAGAACGCCATCAAAACAGAGCTCCCGACAGGGATTTTCCGATGCCACCATTCGTCTCTCGCGCCGAAGCCGACATGTCTGCCCCGTCGTGCATGAAGCTTGGGGACGAATTTTCAACATGGACTGACTTTAAGCAGCTCTGGAGGAGCTTCGGAAATACACGTCGAGTTCAGTAAAGCTACGGTCACAACCCGCCGTGCGTGCTTTTTGTCCGTACGTTTTTTGGGAGGCTACGTCTGCTACGTTTTTTCTGAAAACATGGGGAATGAGTGGCATCGACGCACGTCACTCGCACGGTTTCGCAAGGTGTAAAAGTGTGGTCTGCACGCCACGTCTGGCCCTGAGCGGTTGTGTGCATCGTACGTTGCGCAAGTGTTAAGTGAGTTGTACGTGCCTACAACGTACGATCTCTGTGTGATTGCAACTTTACCATAAGGAGGCCGTACTCCCACGTGTTTCTTCCATACGGCACGTACGGGGCACGCGCGTTGCTCGTACTCGCACGCACGGGTGGTGAATCCGTAGACCGCAAGCAGAAAAAGTTTTCATGCACTGAAAGTTCTACGGCATGTCTGCGTGCTCCAAAATCCGTAGGATTCCGTACGGAGGCAGTACTCACCTCGCACGGATGCCCTACGTTTAACCACGTTTGCACGTAGACAGCACGCAGAAGCACATACGGCGGGTTGTGACCGTAGCTTAACTGAGTAAGGTGTTAAGCAAAACGGTTGAAACTGGAAGCCGTAATTTGCCGGAAAACGTTGAAAAGTTGCCATGTTCCCATATGTACATAGCGGCAAAGTTTGGCTGCATACATTACGGCAAGACGCGCTCAAGAGGCTCGGGAATGAGCACGAATCAGTCTGAGACAGTAGAAATCAATAAATACACAATGAATATACATATCCACACCGAGAGTGGATATTATCTTAATCCTCTTCGCTCCCCGTGGAGCATAATGTGCTGACAAACTTCCCCCAGCCACTCCGGTCCTGGGCTAGCCAGCCGATCTTATACCAGGTCTTCTTGGCTGTTTTCATCTCTGCTTCCACACTCCTTCTCCATGTCCCTAGGGGACGGCCTCTGTTGCGCTTTCGTTGCTTTTTCATCTGAGGGCGACATGCGAATGTATATTTTTCCCATTCGCAAGATGTGCCATACGAGTAGCCATTTTCAACACCTGTGTTTCACTCCTGTCACGATGTTCTGTGAGTCTACTGACTTCCTTGTTTGTGACTTTCTGCTCCCAGTGTATACTTAAAATCCTTTGAAGGCTCTAAGGCGGCTCTCGATCTTCTTGTTTGTCCTCCAGGTTTCCGCTGCATAAAGAAGGACCGAGCGAACATTCGAGTTGTACATCCTAAGTTTGGTCTTCCGTTCCGTGCAGATGACTTAGTTTAGTGAAAGATTGTGCTGCTGAAGCCCAGTCTGGTGGAAACTTCCTTCTGAAAGTTGCTATCTGCTGAAATGTAACTGCCAAGGTATTTGAAGTCCTGTACGTCTTCTAATTCTTGACCACTTATGCTGGTTTTTGCTGTGGTCCACCCTGTTTGACTTTTCCTGGATGTCCATCTGGGTGTGTGACAGCAAGGTGATGTCATCAGTCCTCCAGCCTAGCTGAGAGCCCTCATACCAGCCCTCTCGGATCACCGTGGTCAAATACGTTCCCCAACAGCCATCACGCCACGTACTAAATCGACCTTGTTTCGAACGCTTTTTTTTTCTTTTTTTTCTTTTTTTTTTATGTCCGAAGAATTTTATTCAAGAAATATGAAACAATTCAAATACAAAGAGAACATGGGTAACAATAAACTACATAAAAACCAAAGACACGTTCAGTCGTGGTTGACTAAAAGTAAGAACCAAGATGGCAAGAATAACTTATGTAAAATGTGGCAAAACAGGTTAAATATGCATAACACAGCAAAAATGAATAATTAATCTGAACATAAAGTTCCCCACTTACCCCGATGCTTCTCCAGCTTCCCTCTCCGAGATGAAATAAGAAACTCAGTCTTTTGGTAAAAGGACACTAATTTTTAAAGGACTGAAAATGTAGACTTTTATATCGCCTAGAGCGAAAGATAAAGATTTTACCCAGTAAAATAATTAAATTCTTTAAAGAGGACGCATTTACAGATAAGTCACCAAAAATAATCACCAAAGGCGTTAATTCTACATTTAGACCAATTTCTTGGGTTAACCATTTTTCTATTTCAAACCAAAAAGGGATGACATGAACACACTCCCAGAAAACATGTATATAAGATTCTTCATCCTGATCACAAAAGGAGCAGGAATTTGACTCAATCAAATTCCAGGTTCGAAGAATTTTGTTGCACGGTAAGAACTTGTTTATTAAACGATACTGAAAATACCTCAAACTTGGATCAATGGAAGCTTTTAAGATATTTATAAAGACTGACTTCCAGGGTACCGGTGTATCAAAAAAGTCAAACCAAGAAAGTCTAACTTTGTAAGCAACAGTAATTTGATTATAATACACAATAAAATACTTATATATAGATTTGTTTATCTTCACATTCTTTAAGCAATCATGGTTCTTTTGAAAAATCAAACATACTAAATTCTTTGTATGTTCCGTAGCAAGTAAATTTTTCCATTTAAAAGGAATGGCAGCAATTATTTGCTGATACTTTAGCGGGTCACAAAGGTTTGTGTACATTAGACAAAATTCATCATAAGACATCAGGTGGCCGTCAGTAGATAATAAGTCATTCTGTTTAATAGTGAAAAAGAGAAAGTAGTCTAATCTGCTGGCCTGAAGCCCGCGCCGCCAGGTGTAACGGACAGAATTAGGGTCACGATGGTCAAAAAGGCCATCAAAAATCCTCACTTGGAAATCATTAATATTAATGAGAAATCGGTGTCAATCAGTCATTTCACTATTGGCAACAATAGCTGATTGGTTCACGCTATAGCGGGCGGGGCCTTGGCATGTTTTGGTGATACTTCGAGTCGCTGTTTTTTCCCCGCGATCTTGTCCTTTCATATGCGCGCCTTTCCCCGCCCCTATTGTTCTTTAATTCACACAATTAACAATGCCCCAACACTCATTCAAGCCATGTTTAATTTCCTTATGCCACCAACAATAATTTGCAACCGTGATACAATTTGTCTTATTTCGTAATTCAACACACTAAAAAAATTCTACAGATATTAAAGTTCCCCGGGTCTAATCGGCCTTGATCGCGCTACTGCATACTTCAGACGGCACGGAACGCGCCGGCACCGGCTGCATGACAGAACATCTAGAATATGTCTAAAAAATTCCAGCCTGGACTCGAGTGATTATTCAAGAACATCTACCAAAAACACACTACATACGATTCAGATACATTCCTATACATGTATTCTTGTTGTACCTGTTACTGAACGAGGTTTACGGCGCGGAAACAGCACAGAAGGCATGATTGTTTGGCCGGCGTGCCGAGTACTTCGTCTAATACGGGGAATACATCGTAACGTTCTAGAGTCAAATGATAGACCGTACTAAAAACATAACCGTACTAAGAAGATTTTAGAAATAGTAGAAGTATAATAGTAAATCATTGTAGAAGAAAGTCGGCTGAAGCCAGAGTTTTTTCACAACATATCTGGATTAGACCGGTTCCCTCCCTTTTCCTTTGTTTACAAACCGACGCCATTTGTGTCACAGTTTATAAACCCACGTTTATAGCCCCACGTTTTTTTTTCAATTCGTGTAGCTAAGGAGGTTATACACCTACCTGCATTTCAAATCCCAAATAACACATTCAAGGCAATGTTCAGCTTTCTATCTCTAGCAACCATTTTTGTCGATCACTGTCGATGCTATGTTTCAGTTACTCGCGCGTGCCGACACAAAGCTTTTGTGATTTTTGTCAAAATTATTTCTTCAAACCATGGAGCCTCAGGGTTTCTGAAGCGCCAAACGTCGTGTAAATAGAATTTTCCTTTTAATTCAGAAATCGCTTGAAGCGCATTGGGGTGGTAATTATGCAAACGGCTACCTGATCTGTCCATGGAAGTATTTTGTACAGTGTTAAAATCCCCTACTACAACTAGACTTTCAAAACTTATCTCAAATGTGTCTATTTCATCCTCTAACTCTTGGAAGAAAGAAGGAGAATCATTGTTTGGGGCGTATAAATTGACCAAACAGAAGCGAAAATTATCAACTTGAATATCAAGAATTACCCACCTCCCACTTTCATCAGTTTTTATCTGATGAATCTGAGAGCAGGAGTTGCTTTTTATCAGAATAGATGTCCCAGATGTCCCGTGAGAAAAATAAATTTGGCCCCCCCATTCGTTCTTCCATGTGGTTTCATCCTTAGCCGTGGAATGTGTCTCTTGAATACAGTAAATATGGTGCGGTTTATCTCTTAACCAAGTGAAAAGTCCTCTACGTTTATAGAAATTCCCCAGTCCGTTACAATTATAACTACCAATGAGACATTCTACCTTGGTCATGTTTTCTGGGAGAAGAAAAGTCTCGGAGAGAGAAGCTGGGAGACGCCATCGGGGCACTGGATACTCGTTGATGTGGATGATAATCTATAAGAAGAATAAACTAAGGGAACAATAGATAATGAAATATATAACATTAGCAAAATGATAAGCAAACAAAATAACTGATAATAGAACTAATGCAAACAGGAAGCATAGGTCGAGTACTAGTACTCATACAAACTGAATAAATTAAATATAATGATAGTTCAAAATGAACTGAGTATAGATAAACACAATTCAAATGGCATGATAATGAAAGCGAAGGCCTTATACTCAGGCTCAGATTGATAGTAAATAACAAAAATAACTCAGTGTCAATTGAAAAAGTGTTAACAAACCTAAAAAAACACTGATTCTTGGTTCGGATAAATGAATAATAACAAATGAAACTCAATTTCAACTGAATCATTAACAAAATTCAAAGGCACTGATTCTTAGCTTAAATAAATGAAAGGTAACAGATGGAACTCAATATCAACTGAAACATTAACTGAAGAAAGATCAACAGAACTCAAAAACCCTGATACTTTAGTCAGGTAAAGACAGTAAATAATAAGTGCCAGATCAATATAAGCTGAACAGCAAATAACAAGATTCAATGGCCACAATAATTCAAAGTAGACTGAACAGAAGTAAACAGCAAACGAAAATAGAGTAACGAGAACTAAAACATCAATAGTTTGACGCATACCAATGGTGAGTTTACATAAATTTGTGGTCCTACTTCATCCGCTCCATTCATCATTATCATCAGTTAAACCCACACCAAAACAAAAAGTTATAACAAAAGTAAATTATAAGGCTTGGACCAGTTCAAAACTCAGAAAATCATATCATAATCACAACTAAGGTGTTTTTCAATCAAAATTATTTCAATCAAAATCACAATAATTTAATTCCACATCATCATAAGAATTCGTCACATCCAGTTATGGAAACTGATAATAACATAACATAACAAAAATTGATCAAAGCTTGGGTCCAAGCTAGAACTCATAACACCATAACAAGATTAGTAGACTATCGTAAATGAATCAAAGTAAAGTAACAGTAAATGGTCCAGTAAATGGTCCAGTAACAGTTGGTCCAATACAAACTGAAAATAACACAACATAATGAAAAATCGTTATAACAATGTTCACGTATGCCGAACTCTAACTTAGACTATTTTTCACACCTGACAAATAATTACTCAGACGCGTCTTCACGCAGCAACATTTTAATTTAATTCGTAACCAGCTGCCGGAATTCAAAATAACAGACAGTCAAAGAACACCGGAATCCATGAAGAAAACAGTAAGAAAGTCACAATATTACAAAAGTTCAGGTATTCGGATGAGAGAGGATAATGTCCACTGCATCCACGCGTTTCTTTTCTTTTCCGTTCACTAGGAGGACAGCATAGGTCTTCTTAGGAGGCACGAATATAGATACCTTCGGTTTCACAGCATGGTCTTTCGCCTTATCAATTTCTGCATCTCTGTCCGGCACGCCCCTCAGTGTTACACACCAGCTTCACAGGCACGTGGCACAGCAACAGCTGGCTATATTACACCGAACAAATGCTGTCTTGCAATTATGCTAGAAGTAATTTTGACATATTTTTCTTCAGGAAATCACCCATAAAAGACAGTCTGAGTCAGCAGCTACAAGACATGGCCACCCTCTACCAGAAGTCTTCCTTCATCCTCCCTTTGCAAGAAACACCCCCACAGGGATGTAAGATGGTTCAACCCACTGGCAGCTGCAGTTCCTTACCATCAGTACAGGGGGTGCTGCTAGCACACCTCACAAGAATGTCCAAACAACTACAGAAGGTCACAGATGTCAAGGTATATCTGTTAACTAACCTGTTCTGACTACATGTAACTTCAGTTTATACTAGACCTGTACAATGTAGCCCTACAAATTTTATGCACCACCATCTCTGTCCCTGCTACTGAAAACACTACCTACCCTGTCCTTGGTACTGAAAATGCTATCAAAAGAACTAACCACACTGTGTTTGATTCTATAAAAGTATTCAAAGCACTAACTACCCTGTCCTTGGTACTGAAAATGCTATCAAAAGCACTTCCTACCCTGTCCTTGGTACTGAAGACACTATCAAATCACTAACTATTCTGTCCTTAGTACTGCAAACACTATCAAAGTACTAAATGGCTAACAAGTTACACTATCATCAAAAACACTAACTACATGAACCCTGTCCTTGGTACTGAAAACACAATGTTTTTGGTTCTGAAAACACTATCCCTGATCTTACTCTTTCATCAAAATTTTCAATTCCTGTTGTTTTTGTTCCAGCCCACAGACACAGAAAAGCTGGTCCAACACTGCACCCTGCTGATGAAGCTCATGTGTTTCCTGGTGGAGAAGAGAGTGTGGAAACCACAAGATGTGGTACAGTCTACTCTGTACCAGGACACAAAAGTAGGCTTTGTCTTTCTTACAACTCTTCATAAATTTTGCATTCAACTTAAAAATTGTTGAAGTTTAATCCCTTTGACAACAGCTTACAGCAGCTTATCTAGCACAAAATACAAAAGTAAATTATTGCCTTGTAATCTAGGTGGGGTCGTGTGGCGAGGTCCCGGGTTCAAGTCCTGACATGTTACCAATCTTGAGCCATTGGGAAAGGAACTTTACACGACTTTCCTCACTTAACTCAAGTGAAAATGAGTATTGTCTGCCCTGTATTTGTTTCTATGTGTGGGACACAACACCAGCAACAGCTGCCTTTGTCCTACATGTGTATTGTATTGCTTTTAAAAAATAATTTTTTCTTAAATCTGCCAGATGTTAGATATTATGAACATCAGATTTCATACTGTACTACTAGTCACCTTTTGTGATTTGTCCTTTCAGGCTGCCCTGAAACAAGTGACCTCCCAACTGTCAGAGTTTCTGAAGAAGGAGGGGGAGGGGCCTCAGGCTGTGATGGACAGTTTGTACCAGCTGTTTCTCTGGGATACAACAAAGGTGAAGATTTTCAAAGTAGACAACATAATTATTTGAAATAGCCAGAGGCATTGTTCTTCAATATTATGGAGTAAAATGACTACATGTATTACTGTACCAACTAAATGCATGTGATGCAAAAAAAAGTAATGAAAGATTGGTCCTGAGTTTTTTTTTATGGAGTGCAGTTCACAGTAAGCTCTTGTTTGGGTTGCAAATCTGAGACCCTCACACTTTGTTACATATGCAAACAGCTATTTAATGATATGCAACACAGTATTTTATTTTCACTTACAACATGACTTCTATGAATGTTGTACAGGAATCTACAGAAGTTGTCCATCTGCTCAGAGCTCTGTTGAGAGCTGTGGTACCCAGCCGGCTGATAGATCTACTGGTTGATGTGGCGCTAGGCAAGGTGAGCTCAACATATCTATTTCTTATATAAACATGTAAGGAGAAACAACTAGAATCATATGAATGTAGGAAGATTTTTAAACTTTAAAGATTTTAAAAGATTTTTACTTAAGAAGTTGTGACCCAGAATTTATTATCTCAGAACTGCACAAATCAAATCTGTGATAGCCCACTCTCTTCTTCAAATCCTCTCTGAAGTGATGTTTGGTGGACTTTTAGTATGTTGGTAGGTTCTTCTACAAAATATTTCAAGACAGGTGTAGTAAATGTGTTAGTGCTAGATCAAATACGACTGGTTGAAAAAGGATTTAAGAAACATAAAGTTTTGCTCGCAGATCTCGATTGTCAGAAGCAGTACGTCATCATCAGCTCGACCTTCGACCTCGACAGCTCTAGACGAGGATTCTGACGACTTTGACGGGTTTGACAACTTCGACAGTTCCCATGGAAACAGCAAAGGTCGTGCCATGGGAAGCTTCGAGGACTTTGACGACTCGCCTCCAAGTCAGCAGGAGCCTCAGATAAATGGAGATCGAGAGTCAACCTCAGGTAGTATGTACTGTACATGTACTTCAAGAGTAAACAACATCTACTTACAGGTTCCTTCAGCTAAAAAAGGGAATTGAAAGAAGAGAAAGTTACTGAAGATTGATGTGATGTGTTATCATAATGGTGTATGTTGAACATTTATGACTTTGGGCTCACTACTACAAGAAAGACGGTACATGTAGTTTAATGGAAGTCAGAAACAAAACAGGGCTTTAAAAGTCAGTTTTCAAGTTTTGATTTTGAACCTCTTAATTCCAAAGCCTATTTACCTTAGTCAAACAACGATACGAAAATAAGCTGGCAAATAAAAAAATCTCCTTAGTCTGCCCTGCATCTACCAGAACAGTATGACTCAGTCTTGTAAACACATGTCCAAATCCTGTCCAAAAATTGGATTTTGTTTCTAACTTTCTGAAAAATATAAAATGGTGGATTTTCTGTTCACAGGAACTACCAGCCTGTTAGACCCAGAGTCACTAACAGAAGCCCATAGACTACGTGTGCAGGCTGTACAGGTGGTGTGTACCTGGTGTGTCTCAGCTCTGGGGAACTCTGGTGACTTGAACTTGGGAGGTTCCGCCGACCCTGACCTGGTCAAGGATAAACTCATCCAGGAGTTCTGCAGTGAGGACTTTGACAAGTTGAAAGCTGTTCATCTTCAGATGTTCTTACAAGTGTGTGAGACCCTGTGTGCTCCAGAAGTGCCCCTGTATGATGAAGATGTGAAGAGACTGATACAAACAATAAGTAAGACAGTGTCCCACTACAGACATGACCAAGCAGTCTGCTCTCGAGTTTTGCCTCTCCTA